TTGAAAATTTGGGCCTACATATATTTGCAAGAGGTATATAATCAGGGGCGGCTCCAGGCACCAGCGCAGCAAGCGCGTGGCTGGGGCGGCAAGCCGCGGGGGGGCGGTGTGCCAGTCGCCGTGAGGGTGGCAGTTAGGCAGCCTTTGGTGGCATGCCTGCGGGAGGTCTGCCCTTCCCGCGGCTTCGGCGGCAATTCGGCAGTGGGTACGCCGAAAGCGCGGGACCAGCAGATCACCCGCAGAAACGCTGCCGAATCTGTGTGACCAGCGGACCGCCCACAGGCATGCCGCCGAAGGCCGCCTGACTGTCGTGCTTGGGGCGACAAAAAACATAGAGCCACCCCTGTATATAATGATCTGACGACTGCGCCCTCATTTCTAGGATCCATGTCACCAAAAATATATTTTCCTTTTGGCCACAAATATATTTGGCAACACAGATGCTGCATCTCTCCTAGGGACAGTAACACAGAGTAGTAAGAAGAAATTACATGGCTTGATCCAGTTGTAAGCAACAAGCATTTGTAATCCGGATGCATCATGTTCCATTCACATTGCGGGGGGGCTGTGGGCAGCGAACCTCGGATCTCTGGATCTCAATCCATAAGCCTCTACTGCCTGAGTTCCAAGACCCACCTGTGTTAGCCAACGCTACAGAGGGCAGCGTAGTGGAATGCTAATCCATATGATGCCATGCAGCCACTAGGAGGCACTGTGTGTAAAATGCCTCATTTAAATGAACTTCAGCCACACCTGGCAGTAGGGTGACCAGACAGCAAGTGTAAAAAATCGGAACAGCGGTAGGGGGTAATAGGCGCCTATATAAGAAAAAGGCCCAAATATCGGGACTATCCCTATAAAATCGGCGGCGCTGGAGGGGGGGGGGTGTTTCGGTGGGGTTTCGGCCCTCAGCAGTTTTCTTTGGAGTAATATGGTCCTCGCCGCTTTACGAGTTGTGCAGACCTGGTCTAAGGGTATGGCCCTATGTTATTTTTAGTTATTACTAAATGGGCCCAGTTCTCCTTTTACATTGATGCAAATCAAAATTTACTCCATTGGAGTCAGTAGAGTTGTACTGGTGAAAGAGAAAAATCAGCCTAAAAACACACCAAGATATGTATTAAAACTAAGTTCTTTGCTGTATCCGTGCTTGAGGAAACATACTTAATGTGTTTCAATGTATGCAATTGCCCACCCCAAGAGCTCCAAAATCACGGATTGGACTCTCAAAAATCATGAAATCATTTTAAAATTCATGAGGTTATTTAAAATAAATTTTAAAACTGTTGGGTTCTCTTCATTTGACTTGGTTTTCGAGGCTTGCGCGGGTCATTGTTTCATGCTTTTCTCTGCAACCAAGAAGTTTAGAAATGATATTTTTTTCATGAAAGCTGAAATTATGGTCACATGATTCCTAAAACTGGGGTTTTATGAAAAAATACCAAACAACATGAGAGTTGCCAATACTGCATATGTGAGCCTCATTCTGCATCTCCTGATATAGTCATTTACGCTCCGCTAAGTCACTATGCAGTTGATGTAAAACACCGGCCAGATAGCATGGTAACATTTTACCACCACTTTGCCCAGGGGGAAACGGTTCCACCGGGGGAAAGGCAGTGGAGAATCAGGCTCACCGGGAACACAAATGGACCTATCTGCATCAGTGCTTCATAATCCCCTAGGCATGGGAGTCCAAAGTGAAATGCATTCCCAAAATGCACTGCTTGCTCTACCTCACCAGTACATCACCTTTCACTGGTGCGACAGCTCTTTAAAGAACCCGCCCACATTCCATCACTGCAAAGGGATTCAGGCAGGAACCACCAGTAAGGAGGTTAAGTTATGCATCTATTCATATTTGCTAAGTCTAGAGCTCCAATTTCACCTTCTTTCCCCTTAGAAACACTGGGCCCAATCAGGCAGCATTACCCACCAGGGGTTGGCAACCTTTCAGAAGTGCTGTGCCGAGTCTTCATTTATTCACTCTAATTTAAGGTTTTGCATGCCGGTAATACATTTTAACGTTTTTAGAAGGTCTCTTTCTATAAGTCTATAATATATAACTAAACTATTGTTGTATGTAAAGTAAATAAGGTTTTTAAAATGTTTAAGAAGCTTCATTTAAAATTAAATTAAAATGCAGAGCCCCCCAGACCGGTGGCCAGGACCCGGGCAGTGTGAGTGCCATTGAAAATCAGCTTGCGTGCCGCCTTCGGCACGCGTGCCATAGGCTGGCTACCCCTCCACTAACAGAACCATAGGTTCTGGCCCATTGACTAGGTTCTACCTGCAGAAATATGCACGCACACCTCATTTTGTGCATCCAAATGCCGGGTTTTCCCAACCAAGGTATGAACACTCACATAAGAGACCTTTCGTTTTATTTTCACAGCGCTGCAAGACAAGCTAAGACCAAAGGAATACAATCACCTATAAACATATCCCACACATGCAAATCCACCATTGCACTACACAGACCAGTTCGGGGCCAGCAAACGCTGAAGTGCCCAAAATAGGGTGCACACTCATTGTGGGTGTCTAGTAACTGATGACACACAGAGGCAGCTAGGTCACACTTTTGTCTGCACGGACAATGCCTGCTTTTTCCCTTTTGCAGCCACAGCTTATGCAGCCATGTTTGGTCCAGGGAGAACTGGGGAAGCGAGGAGAGGAAAAGAGAATGGGTTTTTGTCTGGGAGAAGAAGGATGGTCCAGTGATTAGGGAACTAATCTTGGGACACCTTGGTTCAACTCCTGCTCTGTCACTGGTTTCCTGTGTGACCACATGGGCAAGTCACTTAGCCTCGCCATGCCTCAGTTTCCCATTTGTAAAACTGGGATAATAACACTGCCCTACCACACTATGCTGCGGATGAACACATTAAAGACTGTGAGATGCTCAGATATGACAGTAATGGGGGCCAAACAGGAACTTTAAATAGATTTCCAAAAAGCCATTGAGTCATTGATTGAGCACCTGTAATTCTCTTTTTTTTTTAAAAACCCTAGGATGGGAGAATTATTCTGCACATTGACATTACAACAAGTGCAGAATGAACAACTGATATAACCAATATGCCGTAACCTTGTGTTTATCATCATCTATACAGTGTTGCCACCTTGTGGTTTTATTGCTGGTCTCATGAGAATGAATGTTTCTCTTAAAGTCTCAGCTCCTGGAGTCATGTGGTTAGATGAGACTCTCAGCATGCATGTTTTTAAAAACGGTAAATTTCTAGCCCTCATGACTGTGAGGAAAAGCTTATTAATGCAAACCAAGAGCACCCTGAAGGCTCAGAAACCTCAAGGTAAACACAAACTACCCAAAATAGATGATTAAACAGCCCAAGTGATTTTTAAACCAATGTCATGATTTTGGGGGGGGCTGACTCATGATTCCTGATTGGGGATTGGCAATGTCATATTGATATCACAGTAGTACCTAGGGTATGTCTACACTGCTACTGGCAGTGAGCTTCCCAGCCCAGGGAGACAGATCACGCTAGCTCTGCTCGAGCATGCTAAAAATAGCAGTGGGAATGTTACAGCACAGGTGGTGACTCAGACTAGCCAGCCAAGCACAGACCCAGGGGTCAGTCGGGCTTGGACTCAGGTGGCTAGTGCCGCAACGGCCACACCGCTACGTTTAGTGCACCAGCATGAGTGAAGCTAGTGCCGGTCTGTCTACCCGGGCTGGGAGGCTGTAAACATATCTCTAGTGTTCCAACCAGGCTAGGACCCAATTGTGGTATGGGCACTACAGGTACATTTTACATTCCAGGCCCTGGTGAACTTACTGTCCTAAAGATGTGATACAACAGGTGAGTCTCTCTCTCTCTCACACACACACACAGTTTCTTTGTGCTCTGCAACTCAACTTCAACAAAAAGTTACTGAAACCTCCAAGTTTCAAAAGGGCATTTTCACAAGCGTTTAAATTTTCAAAATTCCTTTCGTTTATAAATGGCACCATTGATACGAAGCCCAGTCAACTGAACAAGAGGAGTTAACAATAGCTTCAGGTACCTGCCCCTGTGGTTTTGCAATTTAGCTTTCCTGTTTTTGTTTCTCGTCCCAGCTGATGCATGGGAGAAAGAAAATGGAAACCGGACTGACTATAGAGTCATAGATTCTAGGACTGGAAGGGACCTCGAGAGGTCACCGAGTCCAGTCCCTGCCCTCATGGCAGGACCAAATACTATCTAGACCGTCCCTGATATACATTTATCTAACCTACTCTTAAATATCTCCAGAGATGGAGATTCCACAACCTCCCTAGGCAATTTATTCCAGTGTTTAACCACCCTGACAGTTAGGAACTTTTTCCTAATGTCCAACCTAGACCTCCCTTGCTCCAGTTTAAACCCATTGCTTCTGGTTCTATCCTTAGAGGCTAAGGTGAACAAGTTTTCTCCCTCCTCCTTATGACACCCTTTTAGCAGCCTTAGCAACCAATACAGGGGAGGGGAGCCATTCCCAGGATCTTTTTCCATAGAAAATTGCTTGTCGTGTTTGAAAGCCAAATTTGGATCCAGATCCCAATTTTGCAAAGAGACTTTAGTTAAAAATTTTAAGCTTTGAGTTTCACTGGGAGTTAGGCTGCTAAGTTACTCAGGCACTTTTGAAAATCTTACCCAAATTCTATTTCAGATCTGGATCAAGTTCCCACCCACCCTCATCTTTTTAATGGGCGGAACCAATACCTCAGATCCAAATTTGGGGGCATTGAAAATACAGACTGGAGTCTCAATACGACAGCTTAAGCTCATCTTTAACATAAGACATTATATGGACTTTGAAAGTTGGCATAAGGGAAAACAGAAGGTAAGCCGAGTTTCACGCTTCCCAATCTTGTCGATATCACAAGGGTCAATACCTTGGGACCTGGCAAAGGTTAAAGTGTGAAGTGCCCCCTTGCTGTGAAAATCATATTTTATTCCGACCTGAGATACACATGGAGCTGTATATTATTAACAGAATTATTAGGAGTTCCCTACCTTTCACGGAGAGGAAAAAAATAGCTGCTTCTTAGCTGCAGATCTTCACTGCATAGCCGGAAAGCTTTGAAAAAAATCACTGCTGTTGGTGACTTCAGTACTAAAAACAAAAAAAAGAAAGAAAGACAATTCATCATTCTTTGGGTTCAGGCAGGCAGCTCTCCCCACCAAGCACTATGAGGCATCATTTCAGATTCCACTCTCAAGGGTCTCATTGTTCCATCTGCAGAACTGCCAAGAATAGTACAAATTTCTCAATCAAAGGTTTTGCCCCTTGCTTCATTCACTTCTTCCTGACAGAGAAATCACCTCATGGGCATGTGATCATGGGTAGCTACTACAAAGCCACCATAACAAAAGACAAAGGGTGGGCACCAGTAAAAGAATATCCTGCTTGCACTTCTGTCAAATGACCTGCAGAGAATGTTATAAAAACACAATATACGTATTGTGGAGCTATGACAAAGGAGAAGGACATCTGGTTTTCACTCCAAGCTCTACCCCAATTTGGTAGGAGTCAGATTCTCAAACCCATACTCCATTCAGTAGAAGAGAGCAGCTAAACAACTCCAGACTAGAAATAAGGTGCAAGTTTTTAAGTGAGGGTAACTAACCATTGAATCAATTTATCTAGTGGTGTGGTGGATTCTCCGTCACTCAGCCTTTAACTCAAGATGTTTTTTTAAAAGACATATTCTAGCTCACACAGAAGTTATGGGCTTGAATAGGGATTACTGGATGAGATTCTGGGGGCAGTGTGTGACAGACTGTACCTTTATGTTCACCACTTTTACAAGACTATGATACATTGTATACAAAGTAGGCCTTGTGAGGTATCTTTTGAAAATTCATAATTTGCTGATCATTATTGTTCTGGTAAAACATGTATGGCAATATTGTTTGTAAAGTTATAAGATTCTACTGTATAACATTACTGAGACATGCTCCAAGTTTAGAAAAGCAGACGCAAACCAGTTCCTCAGAGAAAAGAGCAAACTGATGCCTCAGCCAGGTGGCAACAAAATCAATTGGACAATCACCTGGTTAAACAGCCATTCTTTAGCAGGAAGAAGGGTGTGAGTGAGAAAGTTACACCTTGGCAGATAGACTTGCTGTCCCCTGAACCCCAGCTGGAGATGATTATCAGAGAGGAGGGAAAGATATAAAAATGAGGAACAGAGGATACAAATCACCTCTCTCCCCTCATCTCTACTCATGGCATCAACAACATTTGAAAGATAAAAGGAGCATCGTCAAACTGGGGGAGAGGTCTTGGCTGAAATATCCAGCCAGACTGCTGTGATCCTGTGGTGAGAAAAACCTTTTTGCTTTAAGTAAGTTAGTTATTAGTTTGTGTTTTACCTTTTACTTCTTTGTAACCAATTGTGACTTTTATGCCTCATTACTTGTAATCATTTAAAATCTATCTTTCTGTAGTTAATAAACTTGTCTTAGCTAAACCAGTGTCTGGAACTTCCATTTGAGATAACAGGGTTTGTGCATATCATTTTCTATTAATGAAACGAGGGACTTTCTATGAGCTTTTACTGCACAGTAGGAAAGAGCTGGCAGTATAAGATGTACTCTTCTGGGGATATGTCTGGGACTGGGAATTTGCTGGTAGTGGGGCCCTGTGCACAGCTTCATTTTCGGGGGCCCCCCCGGGACATAGCCAAGAAACCGAAAGCCAAATCCCTGTCCACTCCAGGACCTGGGTGTGGGCCGTGGGGCGGCAGCCGGGACCACAGGCACAGGAACTAGGGGTGCGGGCAGGGCTGCCAACAGAATTGCCGGGTCCCTGGGCAAGGTGGAGGGGGGCTGGCTCCAGGTCCCTGGATGGGGCGGGGCTGGGGCTAGCCTCCCCCAGCCAGCCCTTCAGTGCGATAGCAGCAGCAGCGGCCGGGTGCTCCAGGTGCTTTAAATCGCCGGGCCCTGGGGCAGCTGCCCGTTTTGCCCCCCTGTCAGCGGCCCTGGGTGTGAGGGGTCCTGCAGCACCCCCATGTTTTATGTGGAGCTCCGCTGCCACCCCGTGCCACTTATGTTAAAACATATTGTTAGGAGCACAGAACCACCTGGGCTCCTGAGGAGACAGGGAGGTGCCCGGGCCCGGCCATGGGGGCTGCAGCCAGCAGCCAGGGGAGGTGAGCAGGGAGTCCCAGTCTTATTAATCTTTCCTCATAAGGAAGCTGTACCATACCCCAATCATTTTTGTTGCCCTTTGCTGAACCTTTTCCAATTCCAATACATCTTTTTTGAGATGGGGCGACCACATCTGCACGCAGTATTCAAGATGTGGGCGTACCATGGATTGATATAAAGGCCTTATTATCTATCCCTTCTTAATGATTCCCAACATTCTGTTCGCTTTTTTGACTGCCAGTGCACAATGAGTGGATGTTTTCGGAGAACTATCCACAATGACTCCAAGATCTCTTTCTTGAGTGGTAACAGCTAATTTAGACCCCATCGTTTTACCTGTATAGTTGGGATTATGTTTTCCAATATGCATTACTTTGCATTTGTCAACACTGAATTTCATTTGCCATTTTGTTGCCCAGTCACCCAGTTTTGTGAGATCCCTTTGTAGCTCTTCCATTCCCCATCTGTAAAATGGGAATACTTCCTTTCTCCCACCCTTTGTCTTGTCCATTTAGATTGTAAGTTCTTGGGAACAACGCTGTTTCTTATTAAGGTTATGTACAGCACCTAGCACACTGGTGCCCTGGTCTCAGTTGGGGCATCTAGGCACTACCGTAATACAAAAACACTTAGAATGGTTTAAACCAGCATTCAATGTGATATTTACAAGCCAGTTAATAACCCCTGGACTGCTCCATGACAACAACGGAACTTGCCCGTCTTAACCACAAGCCCATTGGGATTTCTAGCTCGAACTCCATCAACCCAGCTCAGTCCCCAACACCTGCTTCAAAAGCCAGGCTTTGCAGCATGTGCAGCAGATTAACCAATGCAGGCTCTGCATGATCAAAACAACTTTCAGGGGTGAGAGGCCCCTTGCCGTGAACCCCCTATCCACAGAGCCTGCCCTTTTAAACCAAGGGATTTCTAGCTCAGACACCTCCACTGATTGCAACTGCAGACAATGGCAGTAGGCTCCAAGGTAAACCAAGTCCCAAACCATTTAGGGCTTCATCGGTTAAAGCCAACACCTGGCATCCCATTTGATGGTGCTCAGAGTAGATCACAGAGCACCAGTGTTGGGTGCTCTTCGGATAACGTCGTACTCAGCAAGCAGGCAGACTCATGCCACAGCAATAGAGGATTGGGCCAAAAGAAATCTGATGAGGTTCAACAAGGACAAGTACAGAGTCCTGCACTTAGGACGGGAGAATCCCATGCACTGCTACAGCCTAGGGACTGAATGTCTAGGCAGCAGTTCTGCAGAAAAGGACCTGGGAATTACAGTGGATGAGAAGCTGGATATGAGTCAACAGTGTGTCCTTGTTGCCAAGAAGGCTAAGAGCATTTTGGGCTGTATAAGTAGGGGCATTGCCAGCAGATCGAGGGACGTGATCATTCCCCTCTATTTGACATTGGTGAGGCCTCATCTGGAGTACTGTGTCCAGTTTTGGGCCCCACACTACAAGAAGGATGTGGCAAAATTGGAAAGAGTCCAGCGGAGGGCAACAAAAATGATTAGGGGGCTGGAGCGCATGACTTATGAGGAGAGGCTGAAGGAACTGGGATTGTTTAGTCTGCAGAAGAGAAGAATGAGGGGGGGATTTGATAGCTGCTTTCAACTACCTGAAAGGGGGTTCGAAGGAGGATCTAGACTGTTCTCAGTGGTAGCAGATGACAGAACAAGGAGTAATGGTCTCAAGTTGCAGTGGGGGAGATTTAGGTTGGATATTAGGAAAAACTTTTTCACTAGGAGGGTGGTGAAGCACTGGAATGGGTTACCTGGGGATGTGGTGGAATCTCCTTCCTTAGAGGGTTTTAAGGTCAGGCTTGACAAAGCCCTGGCTGGGATGATTTAGTTGGGGATTGGTCCTGCTTTGAGCAGGGGGTTGGACTAGATGACCTCCTGAGGTTCCTTCCAACCGTGATATTCTATGATTCTAATAGCTGTCCATGTTCTAAGGCAGAGTCAATAATACAAGATCCTTTAAACCACAGATCTCAGCATGTCTAGTACAAGGGTGTTTGACTGTATCCAAGTCAGCGGGGACAGCATCGGTCTTGTGATCTATGCTGGTTGTGTCCAGTTTGTTCATTTGTACTTAGCTGTCTTGATATTTTTCCCTCATCTATTTTTTTCTTGGAGCCCTGCAGTAACTTTTTGCCCTTTTCACCCCTATTCTCCAAAATCTGCCTAAAACAAACCTGACGAGGCTGAGCATGTGCCAAAACACTTTGTTTCCCTTCACCTAGCAAATCCCCAGCCAGATCAGCACTAGCTACGTGACTTCCTGAAGAGCTGTTTCAATTCTCCCATGTCCCACTTCAAAGCTCCCCCTGCGCCAGGTCCTGTCCCACACAGAAAGTCCCGGCCCAGCCTTCCAGGGCCCAAATTCTGGCCAGCAGCTGATTGCATTCTGGTCTCCTCAGCACTTTGGTCGCGTAAGCAGAGGATGATCCGCTTCGTACCTGTGGCTCTGCAGTCTAAAGACAGATTAATCCTCAAGCCGCAGGAGCAGCAGCAGCTAAACAATTCGACTAACCAACTTGGGTTTTTTTTTTGAGAAAAACACAGAAAGTTTTGATTTTTTGTTGAAAAAACAAAAATGCCTCAAAACAAACTAGCCATCTCCATTCAAAGTGACTATAGCCTTGGATTATAACAAATACATATATAATGCAAACGTAAGGACAAACACCTGCAAAGGAGGGTTTCTGTATTTAGCAGCGTTGGCTGACATTTGAAGGTTAACAAAGAAACTAGCAACAATCCAGCACAAATTCCAGTTTGCGCCATCCCATCGGGCTTGGCTGCTCCTAGGGTTCCTCTCTCCAGACTGTTCAGCCCAAACCCACCATCTCCTCTCTGGAGAGTCACTCCCACCTCCCTCACAGCCAGGCTGGAGCGAGTGAGTCATTTTCAACAGCAAGTCAGCAAGGCTCCAGCTCCATCACCAGAGC